ACATCAGAATAAAAAAACACTAAATATTAGTAATTCAGAAAACTAGGAAACTTTTCAGAGAAGTAAGACACAATGTAATACATATTATGCCACAACACTAAATGTAACTGGCCTTAGTTTTTTTATTTGAAACTGAACACTGGCAACCTGGATTTAAAGAAAAACATCTGCTGGGAGGGGGTTTATTGCCTGTTCTGCAAGGATCTTCCTGGTCACATAGGTGCCTCCATCTCCATCCTTCAAAGGGGTAGGGGAATAGAAAGCCCATGCTAAGGAATCCTAGGTTCTCTGGGAAAAGTGTAGACCTTCGGTCCTCTCACCTTTGTTCCCTGTGGATTTTTATCTAACTTGGCTCAACCCTTAGCCCACTCTCTGTCCATTCCCCTGTTCTGGATTCCACACCCAGGTCTCTTGAGACCTTGAAATGTAATGGTATAACTTTTTTAAAAAGCAGACTTTTGAGTGGGAATAGTTGCACAGAGTTATAACCCCAGTATTTGGGAAGTAGAGTCAGGAGTCATGAGTTCATAGCCATCATCAGCTACATAGCACTTTGTTGTTGGTTGTTTTATTACTCTTTGTTCTTTACTCTTTAATGGGCCCACCACCCAGCTCCCAAACAAATTACACAGATTCTTAATCTTTCTTATGAATGCTCAGCATTAGCTTGGCTTGTTTCTAGCTAGCTTTTCTTAAATTATCCCATCTATCTTTTGCCTCTGGGCTTTTATCTTTCTCTATTTCTGTATACCCATCTTTACTTCTTACTCCGTGGATTGATTGCTTTGTAGCTGGTTGGCTAGCCCTGATGTCATCCTTCCCTTCTCCTTTTCTCATTCCTTCCTCTTCTATTTATTCTCTCTGCCTGTTAGCCCCACCTATCCTTTCTCCTGCCTTGCTATTGGCTGTTAAGCTCTATATTAAACCAATCAGATGTTTTAGACAGGCAGAGTAACACAGCTTCACAGAGTTAAACAAATGCAACATAAAAAATGCAATAATCTTTGCATCACTAAACAAATGTTCCACAGCATAAACAAATGTAACACATCTTAAAATAGTATTCGACAACAGCACTTAACAAGACATCTTGGGTGACATGACACCTTGTCTCAAAATAAAAACAAGCAGACGAACAAAAAAAAAAACTAGAAAAATGAAGAACAACAACAACAACAAAGAAAGAAAAACAGAAAAGGGGACTTCTTAGCTTTTCTAATTTCCACATCCCCTAGTGTCTCCTTTTTCTTGTCTCTTAAGGACTCATATAAAACATGGTATTCCAATCCTTATCCCTTACACAGACTTTTTGCCCCCTGGGCACAGCCAGTTTTACTAGCTGTAACCCTAATTACACAGGGCTGGGGTTCAGTTTATACCGTTTTCATGTTTCCTTGTTCTAGTGTTCAAACTCAAGGCCTGAGCTCATGCTCATACTGAAAAAGGCTTTACCTTTGCTCTTCCACCCCAGATTAATATTGTGCTATACTGAGTTAAAGTCTTCATTTTCCTTTTAAATGTGTGGAAACAGTATCCTTCCCTTCTCTTTTCTTCCCTCTCCCCCCCCTTTCTCTGTCTTTCATTCCTGTCAGATTCTCACTGTGAAGCCCAGGATGGACAAGGATTTGCATTCTCCAAAGTCACCCTCCACATTGATGGGCTTGTAGCTGTGAGTCATCATCCTCAGCAATAATCAAAATTTATTGTTGTGGTTTGAAAGCTAATTGGCGCCACAGTTTGAAGACATGGAACCTTGCGGGAGGAAGTATGTCACTGGGCTTACTTTGAAGTTCTTAGCTTCCCCTCATTTCTGGTTTGCTTTCTCTACAAATTGTTCACATTTCCATTGAAGGTATTATCTCTAAACGTTGTGCTCTGGCAGCCTGCTGCCGTGTCTCCTCCACCGTTATGGACTCTGGAATTGCAAGTCAAAATAAATTCACTCTTCCATAAGTTGCTTTTGGGCATGGTGTTTTATCATGGCCACAAAAAGTAGCTAATACAATTATTGAACACAATATCCCACGCCCAGTGGTAGGTGCTTTGTATGTATAATATGTCAAGAAAATTAGTAAGTGAAAAATATTTCTCAGTTTTGGATTGTGATCAAAGTGTTCAGAGGCCAAAAGTATAGGTCAGTGGGATGACATGTCCATAGCATGCAGGAGGGCTTGGTTCAGTCTGTAGTCATTCATGTTTGAATCCTAGTTCTCCCAGTTACTAGCTGTGTGACTTTAGGGAAGCAATTTTCCCTTTATGAATGGCAGTTTCTTTACCTATAAAGTTACTTAAAATGTACGTCTCATGGGATGTTTGTGAGGGTCAAATGAGTTAGCTCCTGTCAGCACATATCTGGGGCAGTATAAGTTCTCAGTGCAACATTGGCTGTGATGTTGCACTACTGTAATCCTAGAACTTGAGGGGCAGATGCAGAAAAAATAGGAGTCCAAGGCTATCCTGAGATACATCAGGAGTCCCTGTCTCAGAAGAAAATAAGGGAGACTGGACTGCAGCTTAGTCATAGAGCACACACTTACCATATACAAGGGTGTCTCTAGGATCCTGAGTACCACAAAACAAAAAAGCAAGCAAGCAACCAAACTCCCACTCCAGAGAACGAACACCTCCACAAAACAAAACAAAATAATCTCTTATCATGTGGAAGACATCACTTTAAAATGATCAGTTACTAGTACAGGGCACAGGAGTAGCTGACAGAGCATGCTGCTCTGATCTCCTTTCAATAAAGGAGTTATGATGCATCTACTAAAGCTGTCATTGATGACATCTCAGTGGTGGCTCTGTTAAGTTCCACCTCTGGTTGTCAGATCAAGACAAAAGCCTTGAGAATCTCTGCCATGGCTGAGCCAGCTGAGGATAGGAAGGTCTTGATGTTTCTATCCCTGTGGGTCTCCTTTGGAGAATGGAATCTGTTATAGCCTGATGGCACCTCCCACATAATTAATTCTGATCTTTCCTTACTTGGGTATTGCACCTCATCAATCTTTAGTCCCCTTATAGTGTCATATAAATATCTTATATTTGGGAGAGACAACCTACCATACATATTTTTAAGTCTCTGCTCTTCCTCCTATGCATCTGCTCTTTCTTCTCCCAGTTTCCTCTTTGGGTCCTCTTATAATGACAGTGAAGATTAAAATGTGAGAGATAACACAGTTGCCTGGCAGTGCCAGAGTCTGTGTGCAGCATGGTCTGCTCCTGCTTAAAAATCCAGGGTCCTGGCATCAGAGAGAGCTGTCCTCTGCTCTGATAAGATCTGGTAGTGTGTTGTCCCCAATACCCTGCTTTCTCAAGGTGCTGGGTGATAGTGTTACCCTTTGTCCTGAATGTATACCCTTACACACATGAGTTTAACTCTACTTCAACTCATGGGAGGCTGGAAAGATGGCTTCTCAAGTAAAACCTCCTACTGGCAAACTAGATGACTTGAGTTTGATTTCTGGGACTCACAATGTCCTGCAAATTGTCCCATGACTCTTGTACTCCAGCACACGGAAACACAGATAAATACATAAAATGAAATATAAACTCATTAGTACATGTGGTGGTTTGAATAAGAATTGTCCCCATAAGCGCATGTATTTGAATGTTTAGTCATCTGGGAGTAACACTACTTCAAAGGATTGGGAAATATGGCTTTGTTAGGGTAGATGTGGCCTTACTGGAGAAAGTGTGTCACTGGGGATGGGCTTTGAGTTTTCAGAACCCAAGCCAGGCCAAGTGTCTCTCTCCCTGCTGCCCACTGATCTGAATGTAGAACTCTCAGCTGTGTCTCCAGCAACACTTCTGTCTGTGTGCCACCAAGCTCCCCACCCTGGCGAGAATAGACTAAACCTCTGAAACTGTAAGCCAGGCCCAGTTAAATGCTTTCTTTTATAAGAGTTGCCTTGGTTGTGGTGTCTCTTCATAGTAATAGAACACTGAGACAGTACACCAAGCTATGTATGAGTGGGACTGATTCTTCACTGAGTTGTTTTTGTTCAGTCTGGGGCCAATAGACATTTATTTGGGAAAATTTCATAAAACATTTAAGAAGCCACTAGGAAGCAATTCAATCAATGATGATGTTGGTAAGCAATTGTTTTGGGGACCGGATTCACACTGAATCACTCTGGAGAGCTTTAAGCATTATTAATGCCAGCGTCCTAGAACCTGGATTCTGATTTCACTACTTCTTTATAAATTGACTTTTTCAGATTTTAAAAGTTCCTCTGGAAACTGTTGCATAGAGTCAGAGGTTACAACCTTGAGTTCTGTGGTGTGGTATGCATGAGCTATGTATGACATCCATGTATGCTGTGAGGCTTCGCCTGATGCAGCATCTCAGTTTTAGAGGGAGAAAACAGCTTTGCCTAGCTAAAATAAAGAACAAATTCAAGATATGCTCGCCAGTTCGGCTGCACTGCTGCAGGAGGAAATGCATTCTTGGTGGACACATCTGTATGAATGTCACAGGGGATGACTTAAGCACAGACATTAGATTAATGTCTGTGAGGAAAATACCATCCTGCAAATCCAAAAGGAATGGAAATATTTTTGCACGCATATGGAATGCATTTTATATATATTTCCAAATTTCTCCTAAGGTAAGTAATGAAAAACATGGAATTGGTTTCTTAAATGGTAGTTTTCACAACCAAGTTCAAATGCTTGTTTTGTTTTTTTTAAGTGAATTATTTTTTAAAAAATTTGCTCTTTTTGGATTACATAGGACACAAACAAGGTATATGGATTTATATACCATTCATAAATGTTCATACTTTATTTACAAGGTTAAATGCAGACAAACAGGAAGGAGGTTCTGTCACAGGAAGCCCTGCCTTAACTTACCTGAGAATGCAAGGCCTTGCCATTCTGGCTCCATCCACCCTTGGGTTGAAGCACGAACTGTCACTCAGGGTGGGACCTTAAGCACCACCCAATCAGAGGCACTGGGATGAAGGCTACCCAATCAGGCACACGGACGGAGTCTAGGGGGCGGGGCGCTCAGCCCGGGGTCCGTTGTGGCTGACCCCGCCATCTTTGCGTGTCTGGCCGCTTTTCTTCTTAGCTTTGGGTCCAGGATTGCCCCCGATCTGTGTCGCCGTGTGACTCGCTGGTGCCTGGACACCCAGCGCGAGGGGGCCGCTCACCCGGAATCCCGAAATGGTGCGTGTACCCACGGTAGCGTCCCAGCCAAGAGCCGACCCCCACTGCCTCCCGTGGGAGCCGCCGTGCGTCCGGGCCCCCTGTACTGTGGCTGGGCTAGGGCGGCTCCTGCAGCCCGGGGTCCTGTCGCGTCCGCGCACTGGGGACCCGCAGTGACATTTTCGTGGCCAGGGCCGCTACGGACGCCTCCCAGGTGGGAACGCCAGGGCTGTGGGACCTGTGGCTGCCCGAGCGCAGGCGGGATCTTCCCTGCCGCCCCCAGATCTGGTAGGACTTTGGTCAACATGAGGGGATGCTGGCAGTTCTGTCTCAGGGCCCTTAAGGTCACCGGCCTCCCCAGGGTTTTCCTGAAGCCACCCTGCCCACTGACTTCTTGCACCTTGGTGTTTGTCCCTGGCTGCCCGTGTTGCAATCTTGTGCTGTATTTCTGAACCTCTGACTGAGGGCGTCTGTGAGCAGAACCTCCCAGCCCCTTCCTCTGCTGTTAATGGCCCATCTTTCCCTAGTGTCTCTGCATTTCTCAACATGTCTCCTCCATGGAGGCCTTTTCTTCAGGTCCTAGAGTCTCTTAGTGACCTGGAGTACGTACTTCCCCTCTCTGCCTTCTGGCTCTGGCTCTCTGTATGTTACTAGGGATGGAACCTAAGAATTCGTTCATACAAGGTAGTGCATGAGCGTGCACGGTAGTGCTCTGCCGTGAACCAAACCAGTTACTTGTCCTTTTTTTTCTTAACGTTTTTAGAATCAGATATTAATGGTACATAGTAGTGGTTTTCATTACATTTTATACCTGTGTATAATGAATGTATTTTCTTAACGCCAACCCCTATTACTCTCCTGGTCCCTTCCCCACTCTCACTAGAACTTCCCCTCATTCTTAGATGTTTTTATGTCTTTTTTATTTTTCTTTTTAAACGACCCCTGACTTTTGCAGGCTTATTGGAAGGAGTTAGTTACAGGAGCATGGGCCTCAAACCATTGTCTTCACTACTGGATAAAGAGCCTCTCCCGAGAAAACCATTAACTGCTTATACATCCTGAAGGAGGAATGGGATCTTGTGAGCCTCTACCTATTTTTTTTACTGATTTATTTTATTTTATTTTTTGAGACGTAGTTTTACAAGTTGGCTTTGAGCTTTCCATCCTCCTCCCTTAGCTGGAAACACAGGCCAGCCTTTTGTCCTTTTTGTGGAAGTAAAGAAAGGACCCCAAGGTAGGGATTGATACTTGGAAGGAGCCCAGGTACCAGCTGCTCTTCCTCCTTTAATCCACTTTGCCTTCCCCACCAGTCCTCTTGGGGATGTGGAGAAACTCAGATTGCCTCTCTCCTGGTGGGGTCCTGGCACACATGCATCGCTTGGGTAGCACAATATGGTTCTGGGGTGATTAAGATGCACAGAGCAAAAGAGGGATAGAGGCAGAGGAGCAGATAGAGACAGCGACAGTGACATAGCAAGACCTGCAGCCAATTAGCAGGCCTCAGGAAGGTCCCAAGACCAGACTCAGGCCAGCCATGTTGACTCTCTCTGCTCTTCCATTTTCACACTTATGACAGGGGGAAGGAGCCAGGTGCTTGGTACGTGGCTGATGTATTGTGGAACGAGAGAGGCAGTCTCCAAGTGTCCCTCCTTGGAATTTGGCCATATAGCACTGGGTTTTCCAGATCTCCCTTGGTACTTGTCTGGTCCATGGGAGATGGAGGATTTGGATTAGGAGACTCAGTGCAGGGAATGGGGACTGTACCCTAAACCTGAGCACTGCACATGTGGTTCTCAGTTCTCTATATGTATGTCCCTGTGTGCCTGCAAATTTGTACCTCCATCCCTTCCCTCCCTCTATCCCCTGTGTGATTCTTTCGTTGTTTATCTTTGATCTTTCAGACAAGGTCTCACTCTGTAGCCTACTCTGGACTCAAGCTTCTGGTGATCCTCCTGCCTTGGCCCTGTGATCCTTAGGAATCTTTTAGGCATGAGCTACCATATCCAACTCCCTGTCCCTTTTTGTCTTATCTCTTTGAATCTTTGGCATGTCTCAGTCTCTGAAAGTTTGTGTGGAGCCCTGCTCTGGAATTTTTTTATCCTGGGAATCCAGAAGCAGCTGTGCATTGAGGCTTTACCTCTCCTCTTCTTTTTCTCTCTAGATATCTCTTTCCATGCTCTGGTAAGGTGAAACAGGAGAGGGAGGCCTAGATCTGGGTTCAAATCTCACCTCCAAGCTAGGAGGCATGATGGTGCAGGTCAGAATATATATTGCAAGTCTGAGGAATGCAAAGTGAGTTCATGGTGGGCCAGGGCAATATAGTGAAACCATGCCTCAAAGAAAAAGATACAAACCATTAAAGTGGTAGAGTGCTTGTTGGACATGTGTGGTAGGTTCCATACCTAGTCACCTCCCTGTGGGACCTCAAAGAAGCCAATCCCTGTCTTTAGAGTCTGTTATATAGAATGATGTCACCCCTTATCTGTTATTGTGCAGCCATAGCAAGACGCATGGGATTGCCATGAAAAGGCCAAAGGCTGCTTTAGTGCACACAAACCTTCCATTTTTGGAACCCTGAGAATAGGAGAAGGGTGCTGTATGAAGCTGTTCCCACTATAATGAACAGAAAGCTGAGGCTAGGGGTGATTGTTCCTGCCTGACTCCTTGGGACAGGGACTTGGCCCTCATAGGACAGGAGAAGGCAGTGTGTGCACAAGATTCAATGATGCTTCGAATGGGTGGGAGAGGTGGTGCTGATGATGAGCATGGATAAGGTACTAATGGTTCTGAGAGAAGAGGACTGGTAGGACGAAGACAGAGTATGAGAGAGGAAGTGAAGGCCTGATGGAGGAAGAGAGGCCCTGTGAGAGAAGGGAATTCCTCAGACTCTTCCAGGCAGCAATGTCCCAAATGCTGTTAACAGCAGGAACACCTGTTGAGGACCCACTTCCCAGAGGGCACTGTCTGGGGATCTGGCATGACCCAGAAAGGGAAGCCAGGAGCCAGCTTGTTCTGTATCTGTCTCTTTCTTGACTGTTCTGCTGTTCATGGAAGTCTGAGGTCCACAGCAGTCTCACCTGCAGTATCAGGAATGAAGGATGTGGAATTTGGATGGACAACTCTTGGCTCATGTCCTCCCTATGGGTAAACTGTTTTCCCTGAGCCTTCCAGTTGTGTGGGAAGCAAGTTTGAAAATCCAGAACCATGGCTAGTACTTCCATTACCCTTTGTGTGTCTGGCAACAATTTCCTATAATGTCACTTTCCTTTAAGTGTTACCAAATATCAACATCTCTTTTTGCTAGTGAATGAATTTGTGTGCCACATGCATGCAGTAGTCTGAAGAGACCAGAAGAGGGCATCATATTCCATGGAACTGGAGTTGGCAGGCAGTTGTGAGCTACTGTGTAGATGCTGGGAACTGACTATCTCTCCAGCCCCATCAATGTCATTTTCTGCAGTATGCTGAGCAATTTGTTCCTTGTAATATGTGATTTATTAAGAACAGATATTGGAGCAGGGGTATTTGAAGAATTTAATTCTGTCCATGAATGTTTCACATGAGAGGAAAGCTGAGAAAATTCACTTGAGCCCATGTAAATGATCTTGTGTTTCTCTCCTGTGTACCCTAAGGACAGAAACCTTATCTGATGACACTGTGTTGGGCTCACCCCTAACAAACTTTATAGTGTGATGCCCCCTCATCCCAACATCTGTACTTTCTGGTCTGAAGTGCCCACAGAAGCCGTGTTTCTATTCTCTTCGAGCTCTGCTGAATACCAGCCCTTGGGTTCTCTTCTAGGGAGCGGTCTCATGTATACTATGGATCTTCTTTTGGGAACAGGTAGATGCTGTGCATGTTGGAGGAATATCCTGCCATACCTTCATCTAAGTGACACTTAACTATTAGCATTCTTGGCAGTGAACGTGGATGTGAAACCATTTCTTCATATTTAGATGTCTGTTGCATGCATACTAGCCTTGGTGATTATTGGATCATATGGAAGATCTGTGTTTACATTTTTTCCAGAGCTTGAATACTACTTTGTAAAATGACTGTACTAATTTTACACATCAGCAGAAGAGAACCGAGTTCCCTTTTTGCCATGTCCATTGTAATCTGACCCTTGTAATCTGTCATTGCTTTGACATGGTCATTCTCACAGCTTTCCTAGGGCTGCAAGAAGTATGCTGTCTGCTACATCCAATCCTTGGGGCAAATTTGTTACCATTCAGGCTGTCCATTAGCTTCTAAAGAACGGATGACTTCTGGGACTAGACTGGAATTTATCTTGTCATCCTTCTCTGTATTAATTCTGGATTTTAGATAGTTGTTTTTCTGGACCCTAAAGAGATTTGCATGTGCCAGATTGCTTTGTTCCCAGAACTTGAGAGTTTAGTATATATTCCCACAAGCCAACCCAGTTTAAAGCTGAGGCATCCTAAAGAGATTTGCATGTGCCAGATTGCTTTGTTCCCAGAACTTGAGAGTTTAGTATATATTCCCACAAGCCAACCCAGTTTAAAGCTGAGGCATTCAGTGAGTGGCAGACTCCTTCTATGAACAACTAGTAGACCTGGAGGTGTTATGTGTGAGCAGTGGAGGGGCTCAGTAGTCTAAACTCCCATGAAGGCTATCAGAGGGTACTAATCTTTTCTCTGTTATTGAGGAGCAAATAAAAGCTCAGCTTTCAGTAATAGCACTTAGCTGACCATAGTGGAGAGTCCTTCCAGGGAGAAATGTGGCCTTGGAGTTTTAACCAGTTTTCTCTCTTGATCCCAGGTGATGAGGCCAGGGGAAATATTTGTATTAGCTTATGAAACTATGATTCTTCTCACTTTTCTAGAGGTATGTGGGTCCATGTATTTACATGTACGATCATTATCTTCCCACCCTCTGGATGACCTCAGGAGCATAGAATCATTTTCCTCTTGTATTGTGTGATGCAAGTTGAGTTCTTGATCGTGTGTCTAAGCATTTTGAACTCATCGATGTGATGTGATTGTTGTCTCAGTTTCCCAGTATATAGAGGGCAACTTTTTCAGTTGCTTTTGAGAAAGAAATGATACGTATAAATATTTTCCACTTATGATCTATTTTTGCCTGAGAAGCTTTGTATGAACCCAGATATATAGACTCATATAAAATAGGAATGCAAACCAAATATGTTTAATAAATCTTACACATTTATTTTAAAATAATTCCTTATGATTTTATTGGTTGCAAAAGACAAAATGAACTTTGCATACCAATAAAATGAATGTGCTTGTTTTTATAACACAACACAAGTCAAATATATGCTAATTTTATGCTTAAAGAGTGAGGAATGATTTTGGGAAAATACTTAAAATCTTTAATTTCCACGATTAAATCATTGTTTCAATAAGATCGGAAAACTGTATGCAGAGTAAAAGCCTTGCAGTGTAAAACAACATTTCAATCAGTGTTCCTTGAAATTGCATGATGATGGCATGAATAGTGCCTAGTGCACATGGTGTGTGTTCACAGCAAAAGCTACAGTGCTGTCACCTGTTGCCACATGGCTGAGTGCTATCCGCAGAGTACTGTTCAAAACCTTGCATTCATTATATCTTCCTGAGTTAAATTTTGGTCGTGGCATATTTAGAAATCCTCTCTGTTGCAAAAAATAATTTTGTGACCCTGTGTTCACATACATAGCCCCAAATCTTGCTTTTAAGAATAAGATCTCTTCTACTACAGGAATGGGTACTTGAGGTCATGCCCCTGTGTCTTCTGCACTGCAGCACAGTGCTGCACTGCCAGCCCCAGCACCTGCCTTTTCATTGTGCTGTGCATGCCTTACAGATTTAATCGTGTTTTTATAGGATTGAATTTATAGAATCCACTCTCTTCCCATTCCTGGAAACCTTACAGACACACACTCAGTTACAATTTTGTTTCTATTGTAATTCCATGGAGAGCTCTTTATCATTTCTTCAGTCACTACTTTAACACAGAGGTAAGATACTTGTATTGATCTTAATCTACTACACGATACAGAATACAAATCAAGCCCCAGCTTCTATGTGATACTGGCAAGACACAAACAACTAGAGAAATGGATTCTGTTTCCAGATCTGAGGCCTTTGGTTGACAGGAGGTGTTTCATTACAGGGGTTGGTGTCATTTGAGGACGTGGCTGTGGACTTCACCTGGCAGGAGTGGCAGGAGCTGGATGCTGCTCAGAGGACCCTCTACAGAGATGTGATGCTGGAGAACTACAGTAGCCTGGTGTCCTTGGGTGAGTCTGACTCCGAGGCAGCTAACTTTTAATACTAAATTGATAGACATTTTAGCTGGTACATACTAATGCTAATTCTCCTTGATAGCTATTTTGAAAGATTTAATTGTCAAACGTGTTTATTACTCTACTATGGAGCATAAGTTCTGTGTCCTTTGCCTATATACTAAAAGCATATCCCCTGTCTACCATGCCCCAACACCGCCCCCCATCCCCAATATTTTTGCTCTAGTAACTGCCATTTTCTCTGTTTCTTTGGTGTTACCTTGAGCTTGCAAATATAATGAGGACATGTGGGATTTTGCATTTTTTGGCAGACGTGGTTTGTTGATCTTTTGTCTTTCCTGTGTAGACATAAGAAATCATCTGTTTATCTCAATTATGGAGGAAGTCAGTAACCCAAGAAAACATTCATCTATTCCAGTCTGGTGAATCAGAAAGTGTATTTTTTGTAGTCAGAGAGCCAAAGTGATTCTCAGACAGTGGTAACCCTGAAAACTCCACATCTTACTCAGTTTTGCCTTCTATGGCACATGCAGTGGGGTAGAAGGGGTCTGGATTGGAATCTCTCTTGAGGGGTTCATGACAGTCTTCTGAGGAAATGTTGGCGGCGTCATTACTGGGGCTAGAGACCTCGGTATTTGCTGTATCTCTTGAGTTCGGTGCTGTATATGTGTACCAAGGTCTCCTGTGGGCCATCAGTTATTTAGCTTTAAGACAGTGGGGATCATCGTGGGCTCAGAAATGGCGATGTATAGTTTCACAGTGTGCTTTCCAGTTCTGTTCCTGGACAGGTGTTTCTTTTTGTGGGGTGATGCCCAAGAAAAATTGTTAGGATGTCAGCACTCCCTTCCTTTGCTTTCTGGCTGTGGTAAGGTAAGAAACATAGCGGCCTTTTCTGTGCAGATAATTTTAAGTTTGGTGTTGTCCCGTTTGCTGATTTTGCTGTGCATCTGGTAGACATCAAAATACTCTTGTCTTCCTCACTGTCCTGAGGTATTTATTGTATACTCTAGGGACATCATTGTGTCAGGTCTTTCACCTTTGAGTTACTTTTGGCGTGTTTTTATTTGTTTGTTTTGTTTTTTGTTTTTTCTTATTATGCATCTGTAATGCGGTTTCTCAAGCTGGCTTTGAACTCCCTTTGATCTTGACCTTCTGATTCTTTTGGTCTATCTCCTGAGTGCTGGGATTTTGGGTGTGTGCTAGCACATGCAGAACTTAATCTGTTTTAGTTGATGTCTATAAAGTTTAGAGAGAGGAGGTCTTTTGACTTTCATTAGCCTGAATAGTCCATGTTTGTCTGCAAGATTTACAGATGAGAACTTCCTTACTGGTTGAAAAGTCTTGAAACCTGTGTTGAAAATCAGTTGACTGAATGTATTAGTCAGCTTTCCCTCACTCTGACACGATACCTGAGTGAACTCATAAAAGGAAGGTTTCTGTTGGCTCATAGTTTTCCGCTGGTTCTACTTGGCCATGTTAGTTTGGTCCTATAGTGAGGAAGAGTGTCGTGGAGGGAGCACATGCCTGAGATATGCCACTTAGCTTCACTGCCACTGGAAAGCAAAGTAAAGGTTCTGACATGACAGCATCCCTTTTTGGGCATCTCCCCATGGCCACATTTATCAGAGACTGGTAACTAAGACTTCAGCTTTGGAATGCTGTATTCTTTGGAATGCATTTCAGATCCCCACTGTCACCCCGAATAGATACGGTTTGCTTGGGGCTCTCCGTTCCCTTCCAGTGGTGTCTGTCTCTTTTAGTGCCTGTTCCTGCTGTCTCTTTGTAGTGGGTTTGGAAGGTAGGTGTCAAGAGCTTCATATTTGTGCTTTTTGAACAAGATGCTTCGCTAATTTGGGGTCTCTGGCACTTTCACATGATGTTTAAGACATTGTTTAGGAAGTGCTTTTCTGTTTCTGTGGAGAAGAATACTGATTTTACTCTGAAGATACTGTTGAATCTGTAAATCAGTGTGGGTATTGCTTCTTTTAATATTACTTCTTCCATGTATTAATATGGAATGTGGTGACCTATTCTTTGTGTCTTTTTTTCACAAGATTTAATTAGTTTATTTTTACTGATAATCTCGTATATGAATGCAATGTATTTTCAGTTTTGCCGTCTGTTATCTTCTTATGCCCCCCCATCCCACTGAGCACACTCTCTTATCTACAGCCCCTCTCTACCATCTCTCTCTCTCTCTCTCTCTCTCTCTCTCTCTCTCTCTCTCTCTCTCTCTCTCTCTCTCTCTTTCTCTCTCTCTCTGAGTTTGATTCAGATTCTTTGTGTGAACATGGGGTGATGGGTTAATTCCTGGAGCATGGACAGTTATTTTTTTCTTGGCTTTCTAAGCCATGGTTTCACTGTATATCCGGGGATGCCTTGAACTTACTTTGTAGTTCAAAGTCTTTTCAAACTTACAGCAGTCCTCCTGTCTCAGCTATTGCATCCTGGGATTTTTCCATCTGGTAAGGGGCAAGGGGTGGCCTCTTTTAAGTTTTCAGTGTTTGGGAATTTTCAGACTGATATTAGGCTCATCAGTTAATAAGTTATACAGTAAAGCTGGGGACATAGCTCAGTGATAGTTGGCCTGCAGCTTGTTTTGAATAGGAATGTGAAATCAGAACTTCTCAACAATTAATTTTTTTGTTTTTTGATTTTTTTTTTACCATGTGTACATGTTTTTTTAGTTTTTTGACTTTGTGTTCTCTAAGAAGTTTTTCATCTAGTTTCTAGGCTTTTTTTTCTTTTTCTTTTGAGTCCTCTTAATTTTTTTCTCTGTGTAGCTTCAGTTACCATTCATAGCACACCTCAAATGGAACTGTCATATTCCGTCAGTGAAATGGACTTTCTACTTGGGAGCAATTTATATATCATTTTCTTCCACTGGCAGGACATTGCGTGACTAAACCTGAGTTGATCTTCAGGTTGGAGCATGGATTTGGGCCATGGAGCATACGCGAGACCTCACTCTGGACTCTCCCAGGTCAGTGAATGTGAACTAGGGAAGGAAATTCAGCAAGGATGACTGCTCATAGGATATTGGTCATGTTGAGCTGTCTTTACCAACATTCCAGTAGTAGCCTAAGCAACAACTAGTTTTGTCTGTCAGGCATTTACTTTATGCAGTTTCAGTCTCCTTATTTTTGTTTTTGAAACCTGTTTTCCTAAATTTGCTAAAAAATACTCAGTTTTTGTATAGGTTATCTCAGTTGTCCTTCCCACCTTGTTTGATATTGAGGGTTTATTTCAGTGCTTGGTCTTGATCTGACATTTTCATAGCAATCATTAACATTCTAATGCATCTTTTGAAGGGATTACATTCAGTGAGAGGAAAGTGAATGATGCAGTAATGTACCACAATGAGATAAGAAACACTAAACATATTTACCCTGAGGTAAAAACACATGGAATTTTATTTTAGGAAAGGTATAAAGTAAAACACTATTGAAGAATTGTTCGTTTATTTTAGTTTAGTGTGGTGATTACTCTTTTTAAAAATTTTGAACTAGCAGCACTTGGGAACCATAGGCAGGCAGGCAGATCTCTGAGTTTGAGGCCAGCCTTGTCTATAGAGCAAGTTCCAGGACAGCCAGGATATAAATTGAAGACAGTGTGATTAGAATGAGGAAAGAAATTTGGAAATTGGTGGCATAATGAAAATCAATTGCAGAATATCTTTTTAAATTAGGAAAAAGTGGGGCCGGAAGGTGGTGGCCTTTAATCCCAGCACTTTGGAGGCAGAGCCAGGTGGATCTCTGTGAGTTCGAGGCCAGCCTGGCCTACAGAGTGAGATCCAGGACAGGCACCAAAACCACACGGAGAAACACTGTCTGGGGGGAAAAAATTAGGAAAGAACATATCGGAAGTTTAAGAATAGGATGGCAGGTAAACCTTTTTTTTTTTTTTTTTAACCAGACTTACACATGGATGCTCAGTGTCAGACTCACAAAAGAGAGAATGTTTTCCAAGGAGAACAAGAGAGAAAGAGTACTTGGGATCAAGAAGGAGGTGACAGGACAGTATACACTAGAAGACAAAAGCTATTTTCTCTCTTTTTGAGAAAAGTATACCACAGGCTACACTTTTTTTTTGAGACAGGCAGGGTTTCTCTGTGAAATAGTCTTGCCTATCCTGGAAATCACTCTGTAGACCAGGCAGGCCTCGAACTCACAAAGATCCTCCTGGCTCTGCCTCCCAAGCTCTGGGATTAAAGTCATGCGCCACCACTGCCCAGCTACACTTTTAATCTCAAATCCCGAGTGAATGAGCTGAATGCTACAACTAGGAAATGACCATAATGTGCAAAGTGCCAACCTGCTGCCACAGACTGGCATTCTTTGTCATGAGAGAAACCTGTGATGCGGGTAAGTGTTAATACAGAAAGTGCCTTGTCTGACAGTGTCTTAAAGATTTTGGCATAATAAATTGGAAACAAATTAATTGCATTTATCCACATACAGAATGCTGTACCAGGGGCCTGTCTCATCCACTCTTGGGGCATGATCACTAAGATCAGTCAAAACTCAGGAGGCTGGGGACATGCTGAAAGTTTCTATGTAGTATAGGTGGGAACAAGAGGTAGCCATGGAAACTCACATGGTAAGATGCAGGCTCCTTAAGAAAGGATCATGGACTGTTAGGAATGGAGTGTTACGTTTCTAGTGAGGAGTATGCCCATTCCTCATAGACAGTGGCAGAGAATAAGAATAGTGGGTCCAGAGTTGGCCAGTTGGTTGACCTCTAGACCATTGTTTCACCTCCATAGGTTTACTGTACCTTGGGACTAAAAGATTGGAGCCCAGAGACAATAGTTCACTAGATTTTCACAGCTCTCTTCTTACTAGAATGTGCTGTTTATTGAACTTCAAAGGACCTGAGCAACACAGAATCTCCTTACCCTCTGCTCTATAGGCTAACTCTGCAGAGACACCTCATATATGGACGTTTGCTTTCCATCAATGAGTGTAGAAAGAGTCATATGGTGTCTGGCTGACACTCAAAGGCTTGAGCACAGCAGTGACTCCTTTCTGCAGATATATAGTTTTCATCATTAAATTCAAGCTTGTCACCAGCATAACTTTGTTGGGCGAAGTCCTTAGCTAGTATATAGATAATACTAACAGGTAAGGTGAGAACAGAGAAATTAATGTTACTCCTCAGCTATTACCCAGCAACCCCAGCAGCCTCCTGGTGAATTCCAGTAATAGTGGACATGGATGAAATTCTTCCCCAGTGCTTTTTTTATTTTTTTTATTTTTATTTTTCTATTTATCAGACATTTTTAGTATTGTTTGTATCCCAGTTAGGGTTACTATTGCTATGATGAAATGCCATGACTGAAAGCAAGTTGGTGGGTGAAAGGATTTATTTGACTTATACTTCTATATTGTAGTCCATCACTGAAGGCAGTCAGGACAGGAACTCAGGCAGGGCTGGAACCTGGAGGCAGGAGCTGATGCAGAGGGCATAGAGGGGTTCTACTTACTGACTTGTTCCTCATGACTTGCTCAACCTACCTTGATATAGAACCCAGGACCACTAGCCCAGGGCTGGCACTATCCACAGTGGGCTGGGCCCTCCCCAATCAATCACTAATTAAGAAAATGCCCTATTGCCAGATCTTATGGAGACATAAGATTCCCTCCTTTAGATGACTCTATCTTGTGTCAAGTTGACATAAAACTAGCTAGCACGTTTTGACTTATTTTATCCTTTTGAAGTCTTTGATGTTTGTATTTTTATTTCTCCTTGTTCCTTTTTATACTTTTATTTACTGTTTTTCTATATTTGACTATCAGATTCTGTTCTCTGGCTTTTTAACCTTTGCTACATTCCTTTTTTAGTGCTTTTAACTTTTTTCATTAATCCTGCTTACATCGTCCTCCTTAATTTTAATGTCACAAATTGTTCTGCATGTTTAATTTTTTTTCCTGTAGTTACTGATAGTGTTTCGTCTGTTTAAATGTTTTTAACATTATGTCTATGTCTGATTTGTTTTGGTGTTGCTCTTTTAGCATTTTAATTTCTCTCTGAGTGGTGTCAGGAGTTGAAGCCACAGGTGAAGGCTGGTAAGAAGACCCTTTTTATAAGACGAGGGATTCTTTCGATCCCCATTCTTCCAAAGTGACATTCAGTGGCACAAAAGCCTAATATGCATGGCAGCAAGCAGGCAAATAGTGATAATTATTGGAAAAACTAAGACATCTCCAATAACTGAATCTGAGAATCTTGAGTGTCAGGTATAAAATGCAAAAGTACAGTTTTAGCAGTGATCCATGCACTAAAATAATATTTACATAAATCGATGAATAGAGCTCATCTAATGCTTCTGTGACAGATTCAGTGAACACTGATCACGACAAAAAATACCAACTTAAATAACTGAAGAAAGAAGCTCAGTAAGTAAAGCCTTCATTGGAAAGCAGCATTCATTGGAGTAGACTGTGTAGGATGAAGAACATCAGGAATGAAGAGAAGGTGGAGAAATTATTGTAGTGAGAAAACTCTATAAGAAAAGGAAGAGCAGTCATGACTACAACATTTAAGCCCCCTGGGCTGTGATAACAAGGTGCAATCTATGACTCTGTGGTATAGAACAGGGAAATGGTAGACACAGAAAGACACAGAAAATATAATCCATAAAATAGAGTTAAATTGTACAAATATCTGGAAAGAACAAAAAAGCAAAACCAGAAAATATTCATACATCTAGGAAAGGAGCCATTCTGAAGCACTGACCAATATAAATTAAAAAAAAAAAAAAAAAAAAAAAAACTTTCTCAAACATGGTTATAGCTACAATGCAGAGTACAGAATAGGGAAAGATAACTTCCAGCATAAGGGGCAAGGGCTTCGTTACTATGGTGGCAAGCCCATTTAACCTTCTGGATCTTTTAGCCGAAACCCTGATACCAGAAAGCATGTGAGTTCATGTGTGCAGTGACTCTGTTATATCTAGAAAATGCTGTTTATGAACAGTCATACACTACTTCTGGCCTTAAAATCTTTTTTCCCCTTCCTCCATGGTGATCCCTGACCTTTGGGAGGAAGGTATATGGACACTCTGGAAAATAAAGGTTGAAATGTACTAATGTATGAATATAAAGATAAGTACTTAGGGGGCTGTTTAATATTATAACTATTTAGTAGAAAAATAAAAGTAGTTTGTACGTGATAGATTGTGACCTACGCAGCCATAGGTTCTTGACCCAGTTATCAGTACCAGGTATGAGTTCTGTCTTGTGCTGTGGGTCTTAACTCCAATTAGAGTGGTTGGTTACTCCCATAAATTTCATGCCACTATTGCAAAAGTAGGCATATCTTGTTAGGCCATTTATTATTGTAGTTCTCAGGGTTCACCGCTGGTTAAGACTGTTCATTACTGTTTTCTTCCAGTACTGTTATAGTATTTCCCAGGACTATAAAAGCTAGCTAGTAGGGATGAAGCTTCCAGATCAGTATCAGCTTGGTTTCTCTATGTCCTATAATTGAAGTATGAAGTGTCTTCAGAAATGGGATCTTACCATTAAGTTCTGGAGGGTAACTAGGAGCAGTAGCAATGTCTTGTAGTATTGGGGAAATGGCATTCTTTGCCACCATGCTGCCAACACCTTGAAAATAGATAATCTCAACATACTGAGCATTTTGTTCAATAGTTTATGGTATCTGAGGCATTTTCTCCCATATAGGGTAACTCCATTTTGTTATCTCTCCCTATATACTCCCTCCTGTCCTTGTCCTTTTACTCTCAACCCACTGAATCCTACTTGCACAATTATTTCCCTTTCACTCCTTTATAATACTTGTGTTATATCCTCCATCCCCCCCCCACCCCCCGCCCATGGCCTATGTTTAGTTTTCCTGACTTCTACAGGTCCTCTAATTTAAGTACACACATCTAAAGATTCAAAGCCACGATCCACATATGAGAGAGAACATGAGTGGTCTTTCTGGATCTGGGTTACCTCTCTCAGAATAATTTATTTCCAGCTCCATTTATTTACCTAAAAAGCTCATAATTTCATTTTTTTATGATTCAATAAAAATTTTCATTGTGTGAGTGTGTGTGTGTGTTTGTACCATATTTTCATTATCCATTCATCAGATGATGGACATCTAGGCTGTTATTTCAATTATGTGTGTGTGTGTGTGTGTATTTGTACCATATTTTCATTATCCATTCATCAGATGATGGATACCTAGGCTGTTATTTCAGTTGTGTGTGTGTGTGTGTGTGTGTGTGTGTATTTGTACCATATTTTCATTATCCATTCATCAGATGATGGACACCTAGGCTGTTATTTCAGTTTCCTGTCTTTGAACAGTAATGTATGTGTGTGGTAACCACCAGCACTGCAATAAGAAGCTTCTCTGATAAAGTTTGACAGTAGCACAGATGTAGAGATACAAACATAAATGTTTATGATGCAGTTTGATAACATGACCATTGCTAGCAAGACAAAAATAGGTTCTCTTGAGGACTATGACTTCTCTAGCCTTGGATTTTGATAAGTTATGTACATAGTTTTATACAGTTGATGTACAATAAAAGTCATCTAAAAATGTGTACTTGACATTATCCACTATGTATAGGCACATACCAATCTGGATTTGCAACATAATTTCTTAGCATTTACTTTTAATAAATGGCTTATTTTAAAAATCATGTTTATGTCTAAGAGACAGTAGAGATTTATAGAACAGAAGACTGATTGCAGGAAACTTTTGAAGAACCTGTCCTCTAGACTGAGAGAAAGGTGATAACATATAATGACCAATAAGATGCTATTCCGGCTTTTCAGGGCAAATTAAACAAATTTATCACACATGTATAATAATCCTTTTACAAACCTACATTTTTGGTCATGACACAGAATATGAAACCTGTATCATGTGGATGTATAGTGAAAGAAAATCTTCCCGCCTCACATAATGAGAGAGATTTGATGTCAAATGGCGTTTGTACAATTAAGGTAATCGAGGACTGCAGAAGCAGTAGCTGAGAAGTAGGCGGATAACCTTATCCATTCATTTCACAAGAGTGAAAGCAGTGCTGGAACATAACATAGCACCGCCTTATCTTTTGGTATAAAACTTCCCTTAAGCTGAAGAAGTATCTACTATATGGTTTTATTCAAACTGAATAAACAATGTATATGATTTATGGATAATGATATTTTTAACCTATCATTTCAGGTGTTCTTGAAGTTTATGCTCCAGATAAGAGTTGCCTAGAAAATCTCGAGAGTCGTATGTGGCCGGTAGGAAGCATCAGCAGGAATCTGTCAAATAGAGAGATGCTTGAAGTAGGTAAAACATGATTGTGAGCACAACCTTTACATTTTAAATCTGGATATAAGGCATAGAATTTTTTCCTAGGGCCCTAACCTCTGGTTGAATGTGTCCATAGTGAGCCTAATCTGATGCTGATTAGTGAAGAAGCTGGTAATATAACTGATAAGTCCCTCTGGTACCCTGAGCTTCTTGGTCTCCCTCACAAGTTTGAAAGTTCACATTATGATGTTCAAAATATTTGCCCAGGGATATACATCTAAACAAAGACAGTCATAAAAAATGTTTGGTATTTTAGAAACCTCATTTCATGCATTGGAAATCTTTTGTTTGCCTAACACTTACTGTGCAAAACATATCTCATGAAAGAAAAATATTGCATGTAACAGGACTCAGAAAAGAACATGGTAAACTATGGATTGAGAGATAGCTGAGAGATGAAGAACATGAGCTGTTCTTACACAGGACACAAGTTAGGTTCCCAGAACACAGGTCATGCAGCTCTTTACCACCTATAACTCTAGCTCCAGGGGAATATGACACCTTTGGCCTCTGGGGACACCTATACCTGGATGCAAATACCCTACATATATATGCATAATTAAAAAATTTTTTTTAAATAACAGACTTTACACTGGGGAAAATTACATATGCACTTTTTGTAAAACTTTTAAGAATTTATTAACCTCACAGAACATTAAGTACATGCTAGAAATAGCCCCACTGATATAAAACTGTGGTATATTCTTTTGTCTCAAGGCAGAAATGAAGGTTCAGCTGGAACTCCATCAAGGTATAAAACCCTATGAAGGTAAACCATGTATGAAAACAGTTAACCTGCCATCACAGCACAACAAGCAGCATGAATATTATTCAAGTATGAAACCTTACGAATGGAAGGAATATCAGAAAGCTTTCTATTGTAAGTCAGTGCTCACTGAATATCAGAGAACTCGTACAAGATTGAAGATCTATCAGTGTACAGAATGCAGGAAAGCTTTCCCCTCCAAATCAGAGCTCACTGTACATCATAGAATTCATACTGGTGAGAAGCCCCATGAGTGTGAAGAATGTGGTAAAGCTTTCTATCGTAAGTCGACTCTTACTGTACATCAGAAAACTCATAGAGGTGAGAAACCTTATGAATGCAAAGAATGTTGGAAAGCTTTCTATTATAAGTCAACCCTCACTGAACATCAGCGAATTCATACAGGTGAGAAGCCTTATGTATGTAAAGACTGTGGCAAAGCTTTCTTCTATAAGTCAGAGCTCACCTCACATCATAGAACTCATACAGGTGAGAAGCCCTATCAGTGTGAAGAATGTGGTAAAGCTTTTTACTTCAAGTCAACCCTCCGTGTTCATCAGAAAATTCATACAGGTGAAAAGCCTTATGAGTGTAAAGAATGTCAGAAATCTTTCTATTATAAGTCAACCCTGACTGAACATCAGAGAACTCACACAGGTGAGAAGCCCTATGAATGTAAAGACTGTGGCAAAGGATGTAGACCAAGGGGAACACTCCTCCACTGTTGGTGGGAGTGCAAACTTGTACAGCCACTTTGGAAATCTGTATGGCAGTTTCTCAGAAAATTGAAAATCAATCTTCCTCAAGACCCAGCTATACCACTCTTGGGCATATACCTAAGAAATGCTCAATCGTACCACAAGAACATATCTCAACTCTGTTCACAGCAGCATTATTCGTAATAACTAGAACCTGGAACCAACCTAGATGCCCCTCAACCAAACAATGGATAAAGAAAATGTGGCACATATACACAGTGGAGTACTACTCAGCAGTGAAAAACAACATCATCAAATTTGCAGGCAAATGAATGGAACTAGAATCTATCATCCTGGGTGAGGTAACCCAGACTCAGAAGGACAAACATGGTATGCACTCACTCATAAGTGGATACTAGATGTAAAGCAAAGGATAACCAGTCTACAGTCCACAGCTCCAGAGAAGCTAGCTAACAAGGAGAACCCTAAGAGGAATGCATAGATTGCCCTGGGAAGGGAAAATAGATGAGATCTTCATGAGCAAACTGGGGGTGACAGGTGGCAATGGAGAGTAGGGGATGTGGGATGAGAACAAAAGGGAACAGGAGGTTTGAGCTGGAACAGGGATAGAGTAGGAGAGCAAGGAAAGAGATACCATGATAAATGAAGACATCATGGGAATAGGGAGAAACAGGGTGCTAGGGAAATTCCCAGGAATCTACAAGGATGACCCCACCTTAGACTACTAGCAATAGTCGAGAGGGTGTCTGAACTGGCCTACTCTGGTAATCAGATTGGTGAATACACTAACTGTCATCATAGAGCCTTCATCAAGTAACTGATGGAAGCAGATGCAGAGATTCATGGCCGAGCACCAGGCCAAGCCCCAGGAGTCCAATCACTGAGAGAGAGGAGGGATTCTATGAGTAAGTGACATGGAGATCATGATGGAAAAATGTACAGAGATGGTCAGCCAAACTAGTGAGAACTCATTAACTGTGTACCAACTGTGGAGCCCCCATGGGACTGGACTAGGCCCTCTGGATAGGCAAGATGGCTGTTTAGCTTGAACTGTTTTGGAGGGCCCCAGGCAGTGGATTCAGGATCTGTCTCTGGTACCTGAGCAGGCTATTTGGAGCCCAGTGCCTATGGTGGGACACCTTGTATAGCCTTGTTGCAGGGGAGATGGGCTTGGACCTACCTCAGTTGAATGTATCAGGCTCTTCTGACTCCCCATAGGAGACCTTGCCTTGCAGGAGGTGGGAATAGGGGGTGAGTTGGAGGGGAAGGTTGGAGGGCAGGAGGAGGGAGGAAGGAGGAAAGGGAGATCTGTAATGGGTATGTAAAATGAATAGAAAATTTCATACCTAAAGATTCTGATGAAATCCAGAGAACCATTAGGTCATACTTCAAAAACTTGTATTTCACAAAATTGGAAAATCTAAAATGAATAGACAACATTCTTGATAGGTATCACATAAAAAAATTAAATCAAGATCAGATAAACAATTTAAATAGACCTATAACCTGTAAGGAAATAGAAACAGTCATTAAATTCTCACAACTACAACAAAAAAGACCAGGGCCAGATGGTTCTAGTACAGAATTCTTTCAGAATTTTAATGAAGAGATAATACCAATAGTCCTCAAATTGTTCTAAACAATAGAAACAGAATGAATACTACCAAATTCTTGTTATGAGGTGACATTTACCCTCATACCAAACCAAACAAAGATGTAACAAAGAAAGAGAATTACAGATTAGTCTCCCCTATGAATATTGATGCAAAATACTCAGTAAAATACTAGCTAGCAGAATCTAAGAACATATCAAAGAATTATCCACTATGATCAAATAGGCTTCATCCCAGAGATACAGGGATGGTTCAATGTACAAAAATCTGTCAATGTAATCCACCATATAAACAAACTGAAAGAAAAAAAAAGCACATAATTATCTTACTCGATACTGAAAAAGCCTTTGAAAAAATCCAACATGCCTTCATGATAAATGTCCTGGAGAGAACAGGGATACACGGTGCATACCTAAACATAATAAAGGCAATATACAGCAAACCAACAGCCAACATTAAATTAAATGGAGAGAAAGTCTAAGTGAGCCAAGGATACCCACTCTCTCCATATCTAACCAATATAGTACTCAAGGTTCTAGCTAGAACAATAAAACAACAAAAGGAGATCAAGGAGATTCAAATTGGAAAGGAAGAAGTCAAACTTTCACTATTTGCAGATGATATGATAGTATACATAAGTTACCCCCAAAAAATTTACCAAGGAACTCCTATAGCTGATAAACACCTTCAGTAATGTGGCTGGATACAAGATTAACTCAATAAAATTAGTAGACCTCCTGTATATAAATGTTAAATGGGCTAAGAAAGAAATCAGAGAAACAACACCCTTTACAATAGCCACAAATAATGTAATATATCTTGGGGTAACTCTTACCAAACAAAGGAAAGACCTATATGACAAGGATTTTAACTCTTTGAAGAAAGAAATTGAAATAGTTATCAGAAAATGGATAATCTCCTATATTCATTTATCAGTGAGATTAACATAGTAAAAATGGCAAACTTACCAAAAGCAATCTACAGATTCAATGCAACCCCCATCAAAATCTCAACACAATTCTTCACAGAACTGAAAAATGGAAAAACTTAAAACCCAGGATAGCCAAAACAATCCTGTACAATTCAGGAACTTCTGGAAGTATCACCATCCCTAACCTCAAGCTCTACTATAGAACTACAGTAATAAAAACGGTTTGGTTGGCATTAAAAACAGACAGGTGGATCAATGGAATCGAATCAAAGACTCCAGTATAAATCCACACACCCAAGATCACCTGATTTTTGACAAAGAAGCCAAAAATAAACAATGGAAAAAAGAGAATGTTCAACAGAAGTTGGTGGTATAACTGGATGTCAACATGTCAAAGACTGCAAATATCTCCATATCTATCATCAATCAGAAAACTCAAGTCCAAGTAGATCAAAGACCTCAACATAAATCCAGCTACACTGATCCTGATAGCAAAGAAAGTGGGATGTAGCTTTGAACGCATTGACGCAGAAGACCACTTCCTAGATATAACACCACCAGCACAGACACTGAGATCAACGATTAATAAATGGGACCTCCCAAAACTGAAAAGCTTCTATAAGGCAAAGGATATGGCAAATAAGACAAAAAGGCACCCTAGAGACTGGGAAAACATCTTCTCCAACCCCACATCTGACAGGAAACGGATTTCCAAAATACATATAAAAAATAACTTAAGAAACTAGACATCAAAATACCAAATAATCCCATTTAAAAATAGGTTCCAGATTTAAACAGAGAATTCTCAAAAGAAGAATCTCAAATGGCTGAGATACACTTAAAGAATTGCTCAACATCCTTAGCCATCGGGGAAATGCAAATCAAAATGACTCTGAGACACCATCTTATACCTGACAGAATGGCTAAGTACAAAAATGTTAATGACAGCCTATGTTGGCGAGGATGTGAAATAAGTGGGACACTCCTCCACTGATGGTGGGAGTGCAAATTTGTACAACCATTTTGGAAATTAGTATGGCATTTTCTCAGAAAATTGGGAATCAATCTACCTCAAGACCCAGCAATACCACTCTTAGGCATACCCCCAAAGAATATTCAATCATACTACAAGGACACTTGCTCAACTATGTTCATAGCAGCATTATTTGTAATAGTCAGAACCTGGAAACAACTTAGTTGCCTCTCCACTGAAAAATGGATAAAGAAAATTTGATACATCTACACAAAGAAGTATTAATCAGCAGTAAAAAATAATGGCATCATGAAATTTGCAGGCAAATGGATGGAATTAGAAAAAAAAATCATCCTTAGAGAAGTGACCCAGACACAGAAAGACAAACACGGAATGTGCTCACTCTTAAGTGGATATTACATGTAAAGCAAAGGATAACCAGGCTATGATCCTCAGCCCCTGAGAAGCTAGGTAACAAGGAGGACCCTAAGGGAGATGCATAGAACTCCCTGGAAAGAGAAAATAGATGAGATGTCCTAGGTAAACTGGGGGTGGGGTAGAGGGGCAGGGATGGGAACATGAAGGATCAGGATGGTCAATCAAGTTGGGGGCAAGGTGTAGGGAGAGATTAATGAAAGAGATATCTTGATAAAAAGGGAGCATTATGGGTTTAGGGAGAACCTGGTGCTAGGGAAATTCCTAGGAAACCACAAGAATGACCCCAGCTAAGACTCCTAGCAGTAGTGGAGAGGGTGCCTGCACTGGCCTTGCTTGGTATTCAGATTGTTGATTATCCTAATTGTCACCATAGAGCCTTCATCCAGTAACAGATGGAAGCAGATGCAGAGATCCACAGCCAAGCACTGGGCTGAGCTCTGGGAGTCCAGTTGGAGAGAGGTAGGAGGGATTGTATGAGCAATGGTGGTGGGGAGGGAGGTCAAGATCATTCTGGGGAAACCCACAGAGACAGATCACCTGAGTTTGTGAGCTCACAGACTCTGGACCAACAGCTAGGGAGCTGGAATGGGACCAACCTAGGCCATCTGCATTTGGGTGACAGTTGTGTAGCTTGGTCTGTTTGTGGGGTCCCTAGCAGTGGGACCAGGTCCTGTCTCTGGCACATGAGCTGGCTCCTTGGAACCTGTTCCCTGTGGTGGGAATCAATGCCTTACCCAGTCTTGATTCATGGGAGAGGAGTTTGGTCCGGTCCTGCTTCAACATATTATGCTGTGCTTTGTTGACTCCCATGGGAGGCCTTATCCCTTCTAAATGGAGATGAAGGAGGAGTGGATGGGGGGGTGGTAGAAGGGAGGTGGGAGTGGGAATGGGAGGAGAGGATGGAGGGGAAACTGTGAGTGGTATGTAAAATACATAAATAAACAAATTAATTAATTAAAATATCAGACAACACATTTCTTTCAGAAATCATGAATCTCATAATAATGGTAATGAATGCTGGTTGAACTGGATGATCCAAATACATCCATACTTATCACCCCAAAAACTCAACTCCGAATGGATCATAAACATCAATAGAACACGAGATTCACTAAATCTGGTAGAAGAAAAAGTGAGGGCATAGCCTTTAACTCAGTGGCACAAAAAGACTGAACATAACACTGTTAACACTAAGATCAAAATTTAATAAATATGGCCTCATGAAACTGAAAAGACTCTGAATAGCAATGGACATTATTATTTCGATAAAGCAGAAGCCTACAGAGTTAGAAAAGATTTTTACCAACTACACACTCATTGAGGACTAATATCCAAAATATATAAAACTCATAAAAGTGGAAATCAAGAGAACAAACATCCAGTTAAAAATGTTGTATATATCTAAACAGAGAATTCTCAAAAGAGGAAACTCAAGCAGTTGAGAAACACTTAAATATGTTCAACATCTGTTGAGAATTCTCTGTTTAGTTCTATAGCCCATTTCTTAATTGGACTGTTGGGCATTTTGATGTCTAATTTCTTGAATTCCTTATATATTCTGGATATCAGTCCTCTGTCAGATGTGGGGTTGGTGAAGATCTTTTCCCATTCTGTAGGCTGTCGCTTTGCCTTGTTGACCGTATCCTTTGCTCTACAAAAGCTTCTCAGTTTCAAGAGGTCCCATTGATTGATTGTTTCTCTCAGAGTCTGTACTACTGGTGTTCTATTTAGGAAGTGATCTCCTGTGCCAATGCGTTCAAGACTACTTCCTACTTTCTCTTCTAGCAGGTTCAGAGTAGCTGGATTTATGTTGAGGTCCTTGATCCACTTGGACTTAAGTTTTGTGCACGGTGATAGATGTGGATCTATTTGCAGCCTTCTACATGTTGATATCCAGTTTTGCCAGCACCATTTGTTGAAGATGCTTTCTTTTTTCCATTGTGCACTTTTGGCTTCTTTGTCAAAAATTATATGTTCATAGGTGTGCGGATTAATGTCAGGGTCTTCAATTCGATTCCATTGGTCCACATGTCGGTTTTTATGCCAGTACCAAGCTGTTTTTATTACTGTAGCTCTATAGTAGAGCTTGAAGTCAGGGATCGTGATGCCTCCAGAAGTTGTGTTATTGTACAGGATTCCTTTGGCTATCCTGGGTTTTTTGTTTTTCCATATGAAGTTGAGTATTATTCTTTCCAGGTCTGTGAAGAATTGTGTTGGTATTTTGATGGGGATTGCATTGAATCTGTAGATTGCTTTTGGTAAGATTGCCATTTTTACTATGTTAGTCCTGCCTATCCATGAACAAGGAATAGGAGACCATGGTAAATGAAGACCACGTGAGAATAGGAAGAAGCAAAGTGCTAGAGAGGCCCACAGAAATCCACAAAGATACCCACACAACAGACTGCTGGCAATGGTCGAGAGACAGCCCGAACTGACCTACTCTGGTGATGGGATGGCCAAACACCCTAATTGTTGTGCTAGAAACCTCATCCAACTACTGAGGGATCTGGATGCAGAGATCCATGACTAGGCCCCGGGTGGATCTCTGGGAGTCCAATTAGCGAGAATGAGGAGGGTTTATATGAGCGAGAATTGTTGAGACCAAGGTTGGATAAAGCACAGGGACAAATAGCCAAATGAATGGAAACACATGAACTATGAACCAATGGCTGAGGGGTCCCCACTGGATCAGGCCCTCTGAATGAGTGAGACAGTTGATTGGCTTGATCTGTTTGGGAGGCATCCAGGCAGTGGGACTGGGTCCTGTGCTCATTGCATGAGTTGGCTGTTTGAAACCTGGGGCCTATGCAGGATTGTTTGGCTCGGCCTGGGAGGAGGGGACTAGACCTACCTGGACTGAGTCTACCAGGTTGACCTCAGTCTGTGGGGAAGGCTTTGCCCTGGAGGAGATGGGAATGGGGGGGGGGGGGTTGGGGGGAAGGTGAGGGGGACGGGAGGGGGGAGAACAAGGGAATCCGTGGCTGATATATAGAACTGAATTGTATTGCAAAATAAATTTAAAAAAAAACTATGTTCAACATCTTTAGCCATCAGGGGAATGCAAATCAAAACTACTTTGAGATTCCTTCTTACACCCATCAGAATGGCCAAGATCCATAAAACAACTGACAACTCATGCTGGCGAGGATGTGGAGTCATCCTTTGATTGTGGGGTACAAACTTGTATAGCCCCTTTGGAAATCAGTATGGCAGTTCCTCAGGAAGTTGGGAAGTGATCAACCCAAGACCTATATAGCTTTCTTGGGCATATACCCAAAGGGCACTTGATGCTACAACAGACATATTTGCTCAACCATGTTCATTGCTGCTCTATTAATAATATCCATAAGATGGAACATGGACCCAACACTACTTTGGTAACCAAGAACCTGAGATTAGATAGCCCATAGACCTAGGATAAAACCAAATACTACTGCTATATAACAAACAAATAAACAAACACTCAGACAACTGTGTCCACCCCCACAAAAAATCCATAGCAATATTATGAACGGTAATGGCATTCTGCTGTATTCATACATGAATACCTTGCTTAACCATCATCAGAGAATCTTCCTCTTGCAACAGATAGGAACAAATATAGATACCCACCACTCACACAAGTGGCCCTAATTAAATTCAGAAGGTAAAATATCAACAAAAAGACATGAAAGCAGGAGGGAGAATTGCTGGGAAGAAGGGTTTCAGTAGAGGTGGAATAAAAGAGGAGAATATATATATGAAACTCAAAAGGATATAATTATATTTAATTATATATTATATGTTAATATATGTACTGTTTGCTAATCGTATATATACATTAAATATTTAAATTATCATATATTTCTAAGACAAAGAATTAAATGGAAACACTAATTTGGTTAAACATTTGATATTAGTAATTATTTTGTAAAATGTAGCATGAAGATATGCATTATACATTTCATAGTTTTATATCAAGGAATCATAGATTAGTGTCTTATAGGAAAGATGAATATTAAAACATGGATTTATCAGTGGCTCTCTCCCAAACACAAATGAAGGCTTTGGAATTCATGGGACCCTGCAAAGATAGATTAATTATAAACTGGAGGTCCTTGGGCTAAGTTAGAATTTTAGAGCTTTGGACACCAGGAGAGTCCATGGAGAAGTAATAACATCAACAAATGATTCACCTGACAACAACTAGGTGTCTAGGGGAAATGGAATCAGCAGGAAAGAAATTGGTTTCTATGAAGAGCCACACCCCATGGGGAAATGATTGGCTGAATGGTGGAATAATGAGATGGAAATGTACCTAATGAGCAGATATGCATAGTTGTAAATACTGCCCCTGCTATAGTCCCATAGTGTATGCAGTTTAGAGTTGTACATTGCATTGTCATTTCCTTTAATGCCCTCAACGTTTCAGGGTTTGATGACTGTCTCCCTGCCATCTAATTACACAGTGTCGGTCCTCTGTCAGCCTTCAACGGGGCAATTTGTTCTTACACACAGAAACCTTCTGTTTAGACAACTCATCCAGGTGAGTCTCAAAGTCACCACAGCAAAGATTGTGAGGGACAGAAGACAAGATCATTTGCTTAAAGTCCTCTGAAAGCCACTCCAGCCAAGCTGATCTGAGGGATGGCTCAGAGGTGGCTGTGGATGTTTTCTTGCTTCTTCCAGGAAATCACCAATTTGTGTAATTCATATGCTAGGATCAGAAGTAAACCTTCAAGTCAGCTATTCAAGATTATTGTTGACTGTGAAGTGGTAGCAATGGGAGCCAATTAAAATGAGAGTAGAGGGGCTTGAGGGGATTTTATGTAAGCAGGGCATAGTCGGGGTCCTTGAAGTTCATTAGGGGGACAGGAGAAATCATGTATTACATATGGTGAGTAGGAGGAGGAAGTTCATGCATTACTTATTTCTGAGTTCCATTACTTCTCTGAGTTTCTTAGTATTATTCTCCTATAACTATTTCCTACATATAAGCATATCAGTAGAATTTTTGTTTTTATTACTTATATATTTTTGGAATTGCTAGATATTTATGGTTATACATATTAAAACAATTTCTTAAGTGAAATATGTCTCTGTTTTTTCTCCTGAGTTTCTCATCTCAGGCAGCCCACCGATGAACTTTAGCTTTATTTTCATTATTCAAGGTTTTAAAACTCAGCTAAAATGTGTTCTCACCATGTGCTAAATGTCACAAATAGTATTGTCAGTGTGTATAACCAAGTGGCTTCAGTGGGGCAAAATATTAGAGGACCATTGTTCATTGAGTCTTTTAATGTAGGTTATTGCTAAGTAATAGATAGATAGATGGATAGATAGATACGTAGGTAGGTAGGTAAATAGGTAGGTAGCTAGATGATAGATAGATGATAGGTAGATAGATTGTAAGTAGGTAGGTAGATAGGTAGGTAGGTAGGTAGATGATAGGTAGGTAGGTAGGTAGATAGATAGATAGATAGATAGATAGATAGATGGATGGATGGATGGATGGATGGATGGGTGGATAGATAGATCACACTCAGTTATTGGTTTTTATATTTAATTCTTGATGATGAATACAAATCTTGAAAATAAAATTGTTTGTAACTCTTTCACTTTCTCTATAGCCCCTGACATTCCTTGTATGCCATAAATTTTAATTTTCTTTTTGACTTTGTTTTTGTTCTATATAATGTACACATATTCTCTACCACTGTGAAAGTGCGAAAGTGCGCAAAGCAGGTGAGGTCTACTCACATAGCTCTTGCATCTGAATGTGAAGATTCAGCAGACAGAGTGTTCAATGTGATGGAAGCAGGGAATAGTCACATAGAGAATTGAATTAAGTGTGAAGGAGAAGTTTCCTGGAGAATGCAGGATTTCAGAGAACATGTTGTTGAGAGGTTTTTGCATGTTGGAGGAAACAAAAGGCAAAACTGGAATATGCTTATTGGATTTTGCAAAGATTGAAAAACTGAAAGATTCAGATAACACAGGAAAAAGGTCCATACTGTGACTGGGGCAAAAAGCAAGTGATATTAATAGGAGACCAAGAATCCCATGAGATCATGAGACTATGTTTTGTGACTTGTTTTCAACAAGTGTGTGCATTGATGTATGTGTGTGCTTTGTGTGTGTGCTGTGTGTGTGTGTGTGTGTGTGTGTGTGTGTGTGTGTGTGTGTGTGTGTTCTATCTGGCTGCGGTACTACGTGTAGATTTGATAGGACAAGGTTTGTTGAATATATTCCAAAATGGGACACATAATATAGAGGGCAGAACCCATTCAAAAAGCGACACATGTAAATAACAAAAAGGCAATTTCAATTGACAAAACATCTTTTCAGCCACTTTAAGGTGCAAATTAAACTAGTGATCAGAGTAACTACTGGTGTCTTCATGTTTCAGCAGCATCAAGGGTACTTTGTTCCTCATCATTTTCCCCTGCCATAAGTTCTGATCATATGTTATGTTTAAAGACTCTATTTCTAAATTTATTTTAAAATTTTTATACAATATATTTTGTTACTATTCTTCCCCCTCCCATATACTTATCCCCTTCCTACCTCCCCAACTCTATGTCTTTTGCCTTTTTCCATTCTCTTGGCCATAAGCTTAATATATTCTGCAATGTCTTCCTTGTTTTCTTAGTGTTTTGTTTCCTCAGAGAAATACATCACCATTTGTGTTGCAGGGCATGTGGAATAACAAGATACTGGATCTTGGTTGCTTTGGTCCTGGTCTTCTTACCTTCCTTCTTTAAGGCCTTTCTATAAACCTAATAGTAGATATCATCTTCTTTAGAAATGTTGAAAGGTTTTGGATTCTTCGACCTCTTTTGAGTCCCAACTGCTAAGGCAGAGCCTGCTTTCTCATACAAGAACCGCCTGGACATGGGGTTAGCCCACCCATATCAGTGACCAATCAAGAGAATGTGCCACAAGCTTGCCCACAGGCTAATCTTACAGAGGCATTTTTACAATTAATCTTCTCTCTTCCCAGAAATGTCAAGGTTTGTTTCAAGTTGGAAAAAGTTCAACCATCACAAGGGTTAAGTTTTAAGTATTTCAATGCATAACTTTTCAGTAAAGCTGAGAGTGAGTGAATAATTCCACATCAGAGAAGACTAGGGTGCCGGGAGCCTTACTGTAGATGTGTTAGATGATCTAGGACAGATGTGTGAAGTTGGCACAATGAAGAACCTGTGACCACCTGTGTTCAAACAAGTGGCCTTGAATAGTCTGCGCTGTTTTTATACACTTTTGTTGGTTTGCTTGAACAGTTTTACAATCAGATTTGTTTCCTTAAGTTTCTAGAAATGGTTAGTACAATTATATTTGTTTTTTTTCCTTCTTTCACCCCCCTCCCCTACTTTCCCACTGGTAACCGTTACCTATTTGATCTAGAGCGCAAATGTTAGAAGCACAAGCAGTGTTGCAAGCCACAAAGAAAGTTTTCTAACTAGGCACACTTACAGATAGAACAGTTGGCAGCATTTGTGGATACAGCATCATGCAGAGTGGAAGATAGTTTTGTCTCTAGTGGTTAATATTTACATCTGGTAAGGTCTGGGTTCTCACAATCCACTCACCAGCCAAAGCTGGATCAAGTCATTATACTTTCTGTACTACTCCATCTCCTCTGGGGATATACTAAGGTTTTCCATTTATCCTATAGACAACATAACTTGGAAACTTACTCTTAATAGTTTATCCCTTAAATGTTTATCCCTTGTCTTTATATCCATCTATCTTAACTTCTTACAGTATTGGTACAGTTATTAGAAACAAGAGAACTGTGGATTTCTATGATTCTATTTCATTACCTGTCTCTAGATTGTTCCCATTAACTCCTGATATCATCTCTTTTTAGCATTTCTCCAAAGTGCCTGTGGTTAAAATCATTCTTCCCAGAACAGTTGTGCAAATATGTAATATTAAACTTATGAGCTACTGTGACTCTTTTAGGCTAGTTATAGGGTGCATTGGAAAGGCAACATCCTTTTCTTAAAAAGCCTGAATTCATGGTCACATTTGAAATATCAAAGGCTTTAGGGGCTGAATCAGGTCCACTGTGTATTTTTAACAACATTCCCTTTGGCTGACTCAGATGAGAGTCATCAGGAGGAAGTTTTCCTTTTGTAATAGCTATTTTATCTGTGACTGAGAAAGTGAAATTAAAGGTAGCCAGAAATATGGCTTGTATAGCAAAAGCAAGGAGAGAACTTAGCGCATATGCTCCTGGAGTCAAGTCCAGAATTATGTAGCAAACTGTCCACAGGCTTTGCCAAATGGGCTAGATTCTCCAGGGTCTTGCCTTATTACTCAAAGTCGCATGTCTCCCACCACTAGAGGGAGAACTATGCAAAATTAAACACACATGAAAAACTGAAGAATTCAGGGCTTGACTAATTAATATGATAGTGTTTCTATATGGTTACATAATTTCATCATTACATTTTCTCTGTGTTTTTTTGTTTCATTTTATTTTAATTTTTAGTAACATAAATGAAATGGAGCTAGAGAATGACACACAAATTTCTCAATTTCTTCTTCTGGGAATTTCAGAAGACCCAAGGTTGCAGCCTGTCCTCTTTGGACTGTTCCTTGCCATGTACCTGGTCACTGTGCTTGGGAACCTACTCATCATCCTGATCACGATCTCAGAATCTCATCTACACACGCCCATGTACTTCTTCCTCTCCAACTTGTCATTTGTGGACATCTGTTTCACCTCCACCACTGTACCAAAGATGCTAGTGAACCTCCAGTCACATTATAAGTTCATAATGTACAAAGACTGCATCACTCAAATGCTTTCCTTCATATTCTTTTCAGGTCTGGACATCTTTCTGCTAACCATAATGGCTTATGACCGATATGTGGCCATTTGTCACCCCTTGCATTACACAGTCATCATGAATCCTAGACTCTGTGTGTTGATGGTTGTGGTGTCCTGGATAGTAAATGTCCTGCATGTCTCATCACAAGGCTTCATGGTGCTGCAGTTATCCTTCTGCACAGAATTGAAAATTCATCACTTTTTCTGTGAGCTGAATCAGGTGTTACAACTCACCTGTTTAGACAACTTTGTTACTGTCCTTGTCATGTATCTTTTACCTGTGTTGTTGGCAGCTGGATCCCTCATTGCCATCCTCTGGTCTTACTACGAAATACTTTCCTGCATACGTGCCATCTCATCAGCTCAAGGGAAATACAAAGCATTTTCCCCGTGTGCATCTCACCTCTCGGTTGTCTCTTTATTTTATTGCACAGGAATAGGTCTATATCTGAGCTCTGTTGTAACAGAAAATTCGCAGTCCACTGCCAGAGCCTCAGTTTTGTACAGTGTTGTCACTCCTATGTTGAACCCATTCATCTATTGTCTGAGGAACAAAGACATAAAAAGTGCTGTGAAAAAGTTTTTGAGGTAGAAACAAAATCACACCTGTTGAGCCTCAAAAAAAAAAAAAACACCCATGACTGCAGGATTCAGACCCTCAGGTCATATCTGAGATACATTGCTCTGATTGTAGAAGTAGAATATGCTCCTTCCACTGTGCTCTTGGAAGCTCTCTGAATATGGCTTCACTATTCAATTTAAAGTCTTATTTATTCTTATTTTTCATTATCCCTGAAATATCCAACCTTCTCCATTATCTCATTTTCTATATTTTTCTAAAAAATACTTAAAATTTTCAATTATCTGATACCACATGTTTAAGTATAATTTATTTCAAATGACATATATAACAAGTATACTTTTACTTGTTTAAAATAGTAGTAAATTTTATTACTGTTAAGAAAAACCATACTTGGCACACAAAGCTCCATATATAAATTTATGGTGAAGGAAAATCACAAACTATGGTTTTTCAATATGTATTCTTCATCTCATAGTGTATGATTAGGTAATTGCCCTTTCTTGTGATATAATATTAGTACATTATGGCTGGAAGTTATATTTTATTCTTATACTTAAAATCATGTTTCTATTTCAGTTCATTGTCCTGTATATAACATAGTCTTATCCAATCCAGTGTTTGAAATCTTAGCTATAACAATGAGATAAGATATAATAGGGGTAAAAAAGGGGAAATGAAGAAGTCACACTCTTCCTCTTTGCAGATGACATGTTTCTATACTTAATAGAACCCAAGACACTATAGGAAAACTTATTTTATATTTAATATATATGTCTAGTAAAGGGACAGGAAAAAAAATCAAAGTAAAATTCAGTAGCTTCTATATATACCAATAAAGAACTTGGGTGAGCAACAAATTGGGGGAAAATATCACATTCATGATATGTACAAAAATAAAACACCTAGTAATAATCATAACCAAAGGAGAGAAAGACCTCTAGAACAAAAACTTTAAGACATGGATAAAAAAAAATAGAGATGACAGTGAGACCTCCCATGATCTAGGATTGGCAGAATTAATATAGTGAATATTGCCAAAATCTAACACAATTCCCATCAAAATTCCAGTACCATACTTCACAGAGATAGAAAATATTCAAATCCATGTGGAAACACAAAGAGTCACATAGACAAAGCTATTCTAAACAGAATGAACACTGATAAATGTATCCCAATAGAAACGTCAACCTACACTATAAAGCCATAGTGAAAAAGATAGCATTGTACTGCCATAAAATATACATGTAGACCAATGAAACAGTGTAGTGGTTTAAATGAGAATGTGCTCATAGGCTCTGACATTTGAACATTTCATTACCATTTGGTGATGCTGTTTGAGGAGGCTTAGGAGGTATAGCCTTGCTGGAGGAAGCTTCATTCATTGGGGGTAAGCTCCCAGGTTTAAAAGTCTTGCCATTCCTAATTATTTCTCTCTGTTTCCTGTCTCTCTGTTTCCTACTCTGTTCTGTTTCTGGTGCAATGCCTGCCACTTGCTCCCTTCATGGCCTCTTAAACAATCTGGGACGATAAGGCAAATAAAACCTTTCTTTTACATTGTCTTGGCCATGCAGTTTATTATTAGCAATAGAAAAGTAACTAATATAAGCAGAATAGAGGGCTGAGAAATGAACCCACATGGATATGGCAAGAACATTTGAATCATGAACTGGTAATAGTGATTGAATACTGTCACAATTACTGTGGGTTCCCATGTGTAACTGTGTATGTTGTTCAGCAAATATCACTCTTTTATACTTACAAACAGCCTCTGGATTTTATGGTCTTTATGGCCCCTCTTCCCTGAAGATCTCTGGGACATTGGAGGGGGGCATATAATGTAGATGACACATTTAGAGCTGAACATTCTTCAGCCTCTTTATCTCTGTACCCTGACCAGTTGAAGATCTTTGATTCATTGCCATCTACTGCAAAAATCTAAGCTTCTCTAATGAGGGTTGAGGGATGCTCTAGTATATGGGTTAAGTGAGAAGTTCTTTCTTCCCAAAATCATCCCTACAGAATCCCAGCATGGAGGTGAGGGTGTACATGAAGTCTAACCCCTAGCTAAGGAGGTATTAGGAAGGAGATGGAGAGTCATATTTCTTTAATGGTGTTACTCTGAGATGGGAATGGGGGGGGGGGTTGGGGGGAAGGTGAGGGGGATGGGAAGGGGGAGAACAAGGGAATCCGTGGCTGATATGTAGAACTGAATTGTATTGCAAAAAAAAAAAACTTTCAAAACTTTTGCTTAACATTGGTATACTAAGTCAAAGAAAGGTTAGTTCTCTGATCCAATACTACAGCACTAAGTGCAAGTATAGCTAGCATTGAAGTTTCCACACTCTAGCCCCAGATACAATCTTCACCCAAGACCACACAGGGTAAGTGGGAGAACAGCATCTCAGCCTAGACCTTCTGTATACATAGTGTCACCAACGTGGCCTGCTTCATAGGGAGAAAGTGATAATTTTTAGAAAGCTCATTGATGAGGGTGATGGTGATAAGAAGGAACATTCCTTCTGCTCTCCAGGCACCAAATGATAAAACCTTCTGTCAATTCTGTAGCAAAGGAGATCATTATTCCCAGCATCTCTTTCCAGATCAGGCAACCACTAACATGTTTCTAGCATTTCACAGACTATCCTGAGTTATTTTTCCAACTCTTTAAAAAGTTCCTGATGAAAACAGACTCTTTCCCATAGGAGCAATCAATTGCAGAAGTTCCTCAGGTAATGATGGAACTGCACAGAGCCTGCCAACACTGGTTGGACTAAGGTGAATCTTTGTTCCCCTAGCCTATCAGCTCAACCTCTAGGCTTTGGGTCCAGGGGCACAACCCCTGGGACCCACACCACTGCCCATGGCAGACCTAGTCTCAGGCCAGCAGGCAGGTCTCCTGCAAGCAGGCCAGACTACCACCATCCCCCAACCCACCCTCCAAACCCACCAACACTCCAAGACCACAGCTTCTCCCTGAGACAGAGCCCACCAGAGCCCATAGGACTAAGAGGACCAACAGCTCTGACTGGAGGAAGAGAGGCCCCCTCAGACACTGACACTACTTAGACCAAGTGGAGGAAGAAACAGGCAGATGCTGGTGCAAAAATACAATCAGAAACATAAAAACAAATATGATACCACCAAAACCTAGTGGTTGTACATCAGCAAGAACTGAACATCCCAATGCAGAAGAAGCAGAAGAAATCAACCTTAAAAATTACTTTAACAAGATGATAGAGGCCTTCAAAGAGAAAATGAAAAATTCCCTTAAAGAAATTGAGGAAAGGACAAACAAAAATTTGAAAGAAATTGAAAATTCCTTAAAGAAAGCCAAAAAACAAAGAAAAAGCAATTAAACAGGTGAAGGAAACAGTTTAAGATTTAAAAACTGAAATAATGACAATAAAGAAGACACAAATTGAAGGAATGTTGGAAATTGAAAATCTGAGTAAATGAACAGGAACTACAGATACAAGCATAACCAAAAGAATGCAAGAGATGGAAAAGAGAATTTCTGGCATTGAAGATATGATAAATGAAATAGATTTGTCAGTCAAAGAAAATATTAAAGCCAACAAGTCATAACACAAAATGTATAGGTAATCTGGGACACTATGAGAAGACCAAACCTAAGAATAATAGGGATAAAAGAAGGATAAGAATACCAGCACAGAAAATATATTCAACAAAATCACAGAAAAAACCTTTCCCAACCTAAAGAAGGTAATGCCTATGAAGATACAAGAAGCTTACAGAACATCAAATAGACTTGATCCAAAGAAAGTCCCCTCGCAATATAATAATCAAACCACTAAATATACAGAATAAACAAAAAATATTAAGAGTTGCAAAGTAAAAAAGCCAAGTAACATTCAAAGGCAGATCCATTAGAATAACACCTGACTTCTCAATGGAGTCTCTGAAAGCCAGAAGGTCCTGGACAGACATTATGCAGACACTAAGAACCATGGATGCCAACCCAGACTACTATACCCAGCAAAACTCTTAATCTCCACAGAGGGAGTAAATAAAATATTCCAAGATAAAACTGAACTTTCAATACCTTTCCACAAATCCAGCCCTACAGAAAGCACTAGAAGGGAAAATCCAACCTAAGGGAGTCAGATACACCCACGAAAACACAGGCAAGAGATAGTTACATACCAACAAATACCAAAGAAGGGAAACACACAACACTACCACCAAAAAATTACAGGAATTAACAATCACTGGTCACCAATACCCTTTAATATAAATGGATTCAATTTACTTCTAAAAAGACACGGGCTAACAGAAGGATACAAAACAGAATTTGTCCTTCGGCTGCATACAAGAAACACAATTAAACTTCAAAGACAGACACTATCTCAGAGCAAAAGGCCGGGAAAAGACTTTCCAATCAAATGGACTCAAGCTAGCTGATGTAGCTATCCTAATATCTAATAGACTTCAAACTAAAATCAACTGAAAGAGGTTGGGAATGACATTACATATGCATCACAAGAAAATTTCATCAAGATGAAGTCTCACTTCTGAACATTTATGTCCAAATGCAAGGGCATACACATTTGTAAAACAAACATTACTAAAGTTTAAACCACATATCAAACCCCACACGCTAGGAGTGGGAGACTTCCACACCTCACTCTTAACAATGGACAGATCTGCCAGACAGAAACTTAACAGAAAAATAAGGGAACTGACAGATGCTATGTCTCAAATGGACTTAGTTGGTATCTAAAGAATAATCCACCCTAACACAAAAGAATATACATTCTTCTCAGCACACCATGGAACCTTCTTTAAAATAGACCAGATACTTGGTCACAAATCAAATCTCAATAGATACAAAAAATTGAATAACCTCCTGTATTCTATCAAACTACCATGGCTTAAAGTTAGAGTTCAACAACAACAAAATTACAGAAAGCCTACAATCTCATGGAAACTGAAAAATGCTCAACTAAATCACCAACGGGTTAAGGAAGAAATAAAGAAAGAAATTGAAAACTTCCTAAAGACCAATGAAAATGAATGTCCTACATACCCAGACTTTGGGACAGTATGAAAGTAGTGCTAAGAGGAAAATTCATAGTACCAAATGCCCACATAAAGAAGTTGGAGATATCTCACAGTAGTGACTTAACAGCACACCTGAAAGCTCTAGGAGAAGAAGCAAAGTCACCCAGGAGAAAAGATGCCAGGAATAAATCAAATTGAAGAGCTGACAACAATAAAAAGGAAAAAAAGAGAACAATACAAAGAATCAATAAAACAAAGAATTGGTTCTTTGAGAAAACCAACAAGATAGACAAGTCCTTATCCAGACTAACCAAAAGGCAGAGAGAGAGCATCCAAATTAGCAAAATCAGAAATGAAAAGGGAGACATAACAACAGACAACGAGGAAATCCAGAGAATGATCAGGTCATACTTCAAAAAAACTGTACTCCACAAAATTGTAAAATTTAAAAGAAATGGACAATTTTCTGGGTAGGTACCACATACCTAAGTTAAATCAAGACCAGATAGACTATGTAAATAGACCAATAAACCCTAAGGAAATAGAAACAGTCATCAAAAGTCTCCTAACCAAAAAAAGTCCAGGACCAGATAGTTTCAATGCAGAATTATACCAGATCTTCAAAGAAAAGCTAATACCAATACTCTTTAAATTGTTCCACACAATGAAAACAGAAGGAATATTACCAAACTCCTTTTATGAGGCTACAGTTACTCTGCTACCCAAACCAAACAAAGATGCAACAAAGAAAGAGAATTACAGACCAATCTCCCTCATGAACACTGATGCAAAACCACTCAATAAAATATTGGCAAAAGGACTCCAAGAACACATCAAAACAATTATCCACCTTGATCAAGCAGGCTTCATCCCAGAGATGCAAGGTTGGTTCAACATACAAAAGTCCTTCAATGTAATACACAATATAAACAAACTGAAAGAAAAAAACCACTTGATCATTGTATTAGATGCTGAAAAGGCCTTTGACAAAATCCAACAACCCTTCATGATAAGGACTTGGAGAGATCAGGAATACAGGTAACATACCTAAACATAATAAAGGCAATTTATAGCAAGCCAACAGCCATAATCAAATTAAATGTAGAGAAACTCAAAGCACTTACACTAAAATCAGGAACAAGACAAGGATGTCCACTCTCCTCATATTTATTCAATATAGTACTTGAAGTTCTAGCTAGGAGATTAAAGGGATAAAAATTGGAAAGGAAGAAGACAAACTGTCACTATTTGCAGATGACATGATAGTATACATAAATGACCCCAAAAATTCGACCAAGGAACACTTACAACTGATAAACACCTTCAGTAATGTGGCAGGATACAAGACTATCTCAAAAGTATCAGTATCTCTCGTGTATATATACAAATGACAAATGGGATGAGGAAAAAAAATCAGAGAAACATCACCCTTTACAATAGCCACAAATAATATAAAATACCTTGGGGTAACTATAACTAAGTAAGTGAAGGACCTGTATGAAAAGAACTTTAAGTCCCTGAAGAAAGAATTTGAAGAAGATATAAAAATGGAAAGATCTCCCATGCTCAAGGATAGGTATAATTAACATAGTAAAAATGGCAATCTTACCAAAAGCAATGTACAGATTCAATGCAATCCCCATCAAAATCCCAACACAATCCTTCACAGACCTGGAAAGAACAATACTCAACTTCATATGGAAAAACAAAAAAAACCCAGGATAACTAAAAGAATCCTGTACAATAAATCAACCTCTGTAGGCGTAATGATCCCTGACTTCAAGCTGTACTATAATAAAGCTACAGTAATAAAAACAGCTTGATACGGGCATAAAAACTGACATGTGGACCAATGGAATCAAATTGAAGACCCTGACATTAATCCACACACGTATGAACACTTAATTTTTGACAAAATTCAAAACTATACAGTTGAAAAAAGAAAACATCTTCAACAAATGGTGCTGGTATAACTGGATATCAACATGTAGAAGACTGCAAATAGATCCATATCAATCTCCATGTACAAAACTCAAGCCCAAGTGGACCAAAGACCTCAACATAAATCCAGTTACTCTGAATCTCACAGAAGATAAAGAAGGAAA